AATAAGACCTTTTAGGATTCATGATACACTATACTGTACATAAGTGTGAAATAGTCAAGAAATAAAATAAAAATTAAGATCTGCCTATGAGATAGAATATGGGATTTTTGTCTTTGTGAGTCTAGGTGATCTCACTTAATACTTTCCAGATCCATCCATTTCCCTGCACATTTTATAATCTTATTTTTTTCTTTAGGGCTGAATAAAATCTCATTGTGTACATATGCCACATTCTCATTAGCCTTTCTTCTATTGATGGACTACGTGGCCATTTCAATTCCCTAGCTATTGTGAATAATGCAGCAATAAACACGGATATGCAAGTATTTCTGTGGCAGAAGAGAATCCATTGAGTATATGCCCAGGAATGATACAGCTGAGTCATATGATAGTTCTATTTTTAATTTGTTGAGGAACCTCCATCATGGGGAAAAAGCACATTTTTAATACAACAGAGAAAGCCTTTACTTGTTCCTTATCACCGAAGGCTGTTTCCAAAATTTCTTGCCTATCATAGTCACTTCAGATAATGCTACAAGAACATGCAGCAGACACAATTATAGTGCCAGTTACTAGACTGGCTTGGCTATTACCTGGTGAGGGTTTTTATTGACACGGAATACACAGACCATAAAAATCCATCCTTTTAATCTTTTTAAAATTGCTTTGCAGTTCTAGGGATTCAATCCAGGGCCTTAGGCACACAAGGCAAACAGCACCACTGAGTTAAACCCCAGCCCTGAAATTCATCCATTTTAAGATGCAATCCTGGTGCAATAGGATATTTATAAGGTATTATCCAATCATCACAGTCTCTAATTTTAGAGCATTTCATCCCTCCCAAAGTAATTCTATAGCTATTGCCTTCCCATTTCTCCCAGACTTCATCAGCTCTAACCACTAGTTCTGATTAGAGTCACATAATATGTAGCCTTTTGTGGTTGGTTTCATCACTTTAACAACTGTTGTCTGTCTGTTTGTTTGTTTGTTTGTTTGTTTGTTTGTTTTTGTTTGTTTTGTTTTTCAAGACAAGGTTTCTCTGTGTAACAGCCCTGGCTATCCTGGAACTTGCTCTGTAGAGCAGGCTGGCCTTGAACTCATGGAGATCCACCTGCCTCCATCTGCCTCTGTTTCCTGAGTGTTGGATTAAAGGCGTGTCCCACCAAGCCCAGCCTGAGTATTTAATTCCTTTTTATGCATGAATATCATTCCGTTGTATGGATATAACAAAGTGAGCATTCATTCACCAGTTCACATGTGTATTTAAGTTGTTTCCATTATAGGGATATTTTGAATGGTGCTACAGTGAACATTCTTGTCTAGGAAACTTTTTTTTTAACTTTGAAACATACATTTACCACCACCCTCTGCAATCAGCAATTAAACATTTTAAATTTATTTTTATTTTAGATGTATGGGTGTTTGTCCTGCATGTATATCTATGTAGCATATGTGTACCTGGTGCCCTCAGAAACCAGAGAAGGATGTCAGATCCCCTAGGAACTAGAGTTACAGACCGTTGTAAACTGCCATGTGAATGCTGTGAACTGGACCTGAACCTGGGTCCTCTGCAAGAGCAGCAAGTGCTCCTAGCTGCTAAAGCATCTCTTCACTTATCCCCTCCAACAGTTTCATGTCCTACCAGGAAAATAGGTCACTATTGAGCACTTATAGCATCCTGGAGAAACTTTCATTTTTTTTTTTGGTCTCAGCCCTAAAAGGTCTTCGTTCCACAATCCGACAAAACCTTTTTGAAATGAGCTCTGGCAAAACTTTTGAAACTACTGAATATTCTAGTCTCATTCTAGACTAATAGAATCAAAACATCTGGGGGAGAGGGGCTAGATAGCATTTGGGTATTCATTCTGTTAAGTCACTAAACTCAGCTGGTAATTCTAATGAACAGTCAGTTCCGAATAATTGGGTAGCTATCTCAAGGCAGTGGTCTTAAAATTGTTATAGTGAACCAGCAGCATTGGCTAAGACATAGTTAGAAATGCAGATTTTTTCAAACTTTTCCCATATTTTCCCAATTACATCATAAGGATGAACCCAGAAATTTATGCTAGTCCTCCAGCCAATTTAAGCTTGAGAACTAATGCATATCACAATACTAGTGTGTGTGTGTGTGTGTGTGTGTGTGTGTGTGTGTGTGTGTGTAGGTTGGGGGACATGCGTAGGGGTCAAAGGGAGCCAGTTCTCTCCTGTCACCTTGAGGGATCCCCTGACCAAGCTCGGATCAGCAGGCCTACACTCAGGCACCCTCACTTGCCGAGCCATCTTGCAGGCTGTCGTTACCATTTTACTTCATTTCATTTTAATTCATTCTTTGACAGTGTCGTACATGTATACAATGTATTTTGATCATATCCACCCTTTATTCCCCTCTCCAACTCCTTCCATAACCTCTTCATCACATCTCCTCCCAAATTCATATTGTTCTTTGATGATGATGATGATGATGATGATGATGATGATGATGATGTAACCCTCTGAGTACAATTAATGCTCCCATATGGGCATGGATGGAAGATCATCCACTGGGGCATGGGTAACTTTCTAGTGGTCACACATCTAAGGAAAAGTGATTCTTCCTCCATTAAATGCTACCAATGGCCAACAGCTCCTCAGCTAGAGTTGGGGCTTCAGGAGGCCCTCCTCAGTCCATGATGGAATATTTAACTGGCTTAACCTTGCATAGGTCTTCTGTAGGTACCACTGCTGCTGTGACTTCATGTGTGCACCAATATGTCATAGCCAGAGGACAGCATTTCACAGTGCTTTTCCTCATCCTCTGGCTTTTTGACACTCCCTGCTTCCTCTTCCATGATGTCCCAGAGTCTTGGTGGCCCTGGGTGGGGTGGGGTAAGGTATGTCGGTAGAGATATCCTGTTTATGTGCTTGTTCTCCATGTTTGAACAGTTATGTGTTTCTGTGGTAACCACGACCCACCGCAATAAGCTTCTCCAATCAAGGCTGGAAGCAAGACAAATCTATGGATATAAACATTCTTTAGCCATGGTTTTTGAGCATGGTTACAGCACCAGGCATAAATTCCCTCCTGAGGAGCAGGCTTCAAATACAATTAAGACACTAGTTGGTTGTCTCCACAAACAGCCTTGCCACTATTTCTTTTTTTTTTTTTTTTAAGATTTATTCATTTATTTTGTATACAGCATGTATGACCAGAAGAGGGCACCAGATCTCATTACAGATGGTTGTGAGCCACCATGTGGTTGCTGGGAATTGAACTCAGGACCTCTAGGAAAGCAGTCAGTGCTCTTAACCTCTGAGCCATCTCTCCAGCCCCCCAGCCTTGCCACTATTAAACCAATGGATACATGTTGCCTGGAAGGTCAGTATTGTAGCGCACAGGGTCCAGTTCTGGATAATAACTTTGATTTTTTTTCCACAGCAGCCTGGATAGCATCTTTAGCACTACGCAAACTTGCCATCTTAGAATAAAATAAAACTGTGTGGGGTGTTTTGTTTTGTTTTGTTTTTCTAGACAGGGTTTCTCTGTGTAGTTTTGGTGCCTGTCCTGGATCTTGCTGCTCTGTAGACCAGGCTGGCCTCGAACTCACAGAGATCTGCCTGACTCTGCCTCCCGAGTGCTGGGATTAAAGGTGTGCGCCACCGCTGCCCAGCCTGTCTTTTCTTATTCTTACTGAGATAGCGCAAAGCATCTTCCAGCATTAGCCAGCAAGTAGAGTTTTCTGGTTAGTACAAATTGATTTCTGTTTCCTGCAACAAAAACATATGGCATCTTCAGCAATAGGGTCTTACTATCTAGTTAAGGTGGGCAACCAAGGGCAATGGCCTCTCTGATCAATAATTTGTAGGAAAATAACCTGAGCCAGAACTGGGATTTTCATGAAAAAGAAAAACCCATGTCTTCTAGAAGCAGCATTGTTCACTAATGTAGTTATTTCTGTTCAAACTCCTTTAGAAAAAGGTATTTGTATTACCTTATTGCATAATTCTTAGTTTGGTTCACACACCACTCCCTCTGTTCCACCTACCCGTTGTTCTCAGCTTACACCTTAGCTCCCAATAGTCTCCCTATGTTCTTTCATATATATATATATATATATATATATATATATATATATATATATATATATATATATATATATATATATATATATATATATATATTTACTATTCCCTCTTATTGTCTTTTTTACTTGGATTGCAAGATCATAGGTTCCAGCTGGGCGGTGGTGGCACACACCTTTAATCCCAGCACTTGGGAGGCAGAGGCAAGGCCGGTCTGGTCTACAGAGTGAATTCCAGGACTGCCAGGACTGTTACACAGAGAAACTCTGTCTTGAACCCCTCGAAAAAAGATCATAGCAGCTTTTTCATGCACACTTGCTCTTTTTAAGCTTCCCCTGGCGCTTCATTTCCCTATCCCCATCATTCCACCACCCATTTGGGTTCTTCTACCCCAATACTGCCCCCACCACTTTAATTTTAAATGTATTCTAGTCTTTCCTCCTGAAGTGCCTCTCTCGACCCTAACATCAATGGTCTGATTCTAGTTTCCGAGAACATATGTACCCCATGTTAAATGCACAAAAGTTGAAGCCAGGATCCTTATGTAAGATAGAACAGAGCCTGGGTGACTGCACTCAGTGTAATATTTTTTCAGTTCCATCCATTTACCTGTAAATTTCATGATTTCATTTCCTGTACAGCTGAATAATTTCCATTGTGCATATCTACCACATTTTCAGTATCCATTCATCAGCTGGTGGATTCTATGTCGATTCCTCACATGGTAGAAGGAGAGAACTGACTCTGGAAAGTTGTCCTCTGACATGTACACTGTGGCAGGTGTGCCCCCACAAACACACAAACTTAAAAAGAAAGAAACAGTACATGGTTCTTTAAATATCTGAGAACTAAATGCACAAGGAAAATCATGAATTTATGGAGAACTGACATCTCTATAGATGGGGAAATGATTTGCATAATGGCTGTTTCCTCGTCAGAAACTGGAAGGATGGGGCTGGAGAGATGGCTCAGACGTTAAGAGCACTGACTGCTTTTCCAGAGGACCCAGGTTCAATTCCCAGCACCCACATGGCAGCTCCCAACTGTCTGTAAATCTGCATCCAGGAGATTTGGCACCCTCACACAGGTAAGCAAAACACCAAAATAAAAATAAAAGCACATAAAATAAAAATAAAAAAAGAAATCTGAAGGAAAAGGTGACTTTTTTCTTTTTGATGTGTTGAGAACAGGGTCTTGCTATGTAGTGTAGGATGGTCTTGAGCCAAACCCTTAATCCTCCTGCCCCAGCTTCCCAAGTATATGCCATTATTCTCAGCAGGAAGTGAGATCTTTAAGGGCTGAAACAAATAACTGTCAACTCAGAATTTCCCTCCAGGAATGAAGGTGAAAGCAAGACGTTCTCATTTGAAGATAGACTAAAAGCCAGTGAGACCAGCAGGAAAGAATGATCACAGGAACTTCTATAAATAGACAGGAAATACGAAAATAAGTATCATTGTCAAGAAGAAAGAATAGAATGTACAAAAACAGGATAAGTACTTTTTGTCCTCTCTTGAGTTTTCTAAATCATATTTCATGTTGAAGCAAAAATTCTAGCACTACCCTGAGCTGGTCATCAGTAAATGTGGAGGGAACTATTTAAGGCTGAAATTATAGCTTTTTGGTAGAGCACTTGCCTAGCAAGCATAAAATCCTTGGTTTAGCATCAATACCACACAAAAAGATAATTATAATCTAAACCAGGGAATGTAAGGGACACTGGAATGGAGAGTTCAGCACTTCACCTGAACTGGTACAATGATGACAGCAGTGATAAGTTATATATGGATGGGATAATACTTAGAGCAACCACAACCAAAGCTGCACTGAGAGATAAACAGCGAAGTTCAAGAGATAGCCAAAGCTAAGTTCTCAAAATGGCCAAATTACCAATAGGAAGTTAGCAGCAATAAAAGCGAAATATCAGAGACAGAGGCTGTGATAAAGAGCCTGTCCTCCACATCCTGAATGAATACATGCCAAACTGCAGAGCACGAGTGTCTGGGAAGCAAAAGCTAACCCAGCGGAAAGGAGAAAGGCAATTCTACAATTGTGGCTGACATTCAACATGCCTCCATCAACAATTGATAGAGCAACCGGACAGCAAACCAGCAGATGCACCATCAACCAAAGGATCTTAGCATTTATAGAATGTTCTGTCCAACAGCAGGATGCAGGCTCTTTTCACATAACCTCGGAACATGATACTAAACTAAGATGGATCAGACTCTGCACCATAAAGCAAATGTCAATGTGTAGAGGAATTGAAAGAATTTACATTTTCAACCATAATGAAATTGTCACTTCATCTTCACCAAAAGTCCAAGAAGCAATCCATAATGAAATGGATAAGAGAAAGGGACCGAGAAAACTTCTAAGCATTGGGAAAACAGAGATCATGCTTCTAAATTACCTACAGATCCAAGGAAAAGCCTCAAGAAAACAATTTTTTAAATCCTGAGGTGACTTCAAATGAAGTCAAGCAAATCACAATTAGTAGGATCCCGTTTTATAAATTAAGGAGAAAATGTCTTTACTAAGTTCTCACACTGGAGAAAAAAAAGGTATCAAATCAACAATCTAAACCCCAGTCTTAAAAGTTCTAGAAAAAAGAGCCTAAAACAAAGATATAAGTATAAGTGATAATGCCCGTACATCATGAAATGGAACACACACACACACACACACACACACACACACACACACACACACACACCACAGAAAATCAGAGGAATAAAACTGGGACTAGTAGTCACATCTACAATCTCAGTATTGGGAAAGTTGAGGCAGGAGGATCGTCATGAGTTCTAGGCCAGCCTTGGCTACAGTGTGAGATGTTGTGTCAATAAAAGAAAAAGCCCAGGGTGGCACAACACCTTTAATCCCAGCACTCAGGAGGCAGAGCCAAGAGGATCTGTGTGAGTTCGAGGCCAGCCTGGGCTACAGAGTGAGTTCCAGGACAGCCAGGGTTACACAGAGGGAAAAAAAAAAGGTTACACAGAGGAGGGGGAAAAAACAAGAAAAAAAGCCTAAATCAAAACTGGACAAATGAATAACCAAATATCAGAACTCAATGAAACTAACTCTTATTATTATTTGAAAAGGTATATGAAGTCAACAGAGCGGGGGAGAAGGAGAGGCAAGAGAAAGGCTGAGAGCTAGAGGAAGAGAACAAACGGAGGGCCAGCGATGGCTCGGCCAATGAAGTCACTTGCTGCCACTGTGTGATCCCTTGGACCCACATGCAGGAAGGAGAGAACGGACACCCACAAGTTGTCCTCTGATCTCCATGAGCATGCCACGATGCTTGTGCCTGCACCCACACATAATTCCTCAAAATAAATAAATTAAAATGTAATTTTTAAAAAAGTGCCACCATTGGAATGTGAACTCAAGGCCAGCTAGCCACTAGAGATGAAATAAATAATACCAAGAATGAAGCGAGGTCTACCACAACAGGCTATAGTCATTAAAGACAATAAACACTACAAACAACTCTACATACACACACACTGGGGAACTTAGCAAAATCAATCAGTTCCAGGAAAAAGCACAAGTTAGCAAAACTCAGTCAATGTGAACTAATTTAACTAGCACTGCAATTATGAAGGAAATTGCATTTGTAATTTTAAAATTCCCTAAAAAGACATCTCTTAGCCCAGATGGTCCCAGTGGAGAATTTTGCCAAGTGTTTTAACAAACAACTCACACTAATTATCCAATATATCTTTCCAAAAAGAAAAAAGGAATGCTTTTACATTTTTTTTTAGTTCAATTGTACCGTGACACCAAAACCAGACAAAGACAGTATAAGGACAAAACCAAAAGATACAGAACAATAAACTTCATGCTTTTGAAATCGAAATGTTTAAGGTAGAGAGCAACTGAGGAAGGCCTGACATTGACCTCTCTCCTCCACAAGTGTATGTGCGTGCATACACTCACACTCACATGCAAAGATACCCAAACGTGTACACACACACACACACACACACACACACACACACACACACACACACACACAACTACAGACTGGAAGGAAATATTTGGAAGTCCCATATTGGACATAGGACCAGTATATAGGCTAAATTTCAAAATTCAAAAAACGTAAAACAAAATATTCAGTTTAAAAAATAGGCAAAGTACACAAAAAAATTCAATAAAGAGCATCTACAGGTTTAAAAAACCTGGGTATGGTGGTGCATGCCTCTAATCCTGGCACTTAGGAGGCAGAGGCAAGTGGATCTCTGTGAATTTGAGGCCAGTCTGATCTGAAGAGTGAGTTCCAAGAGAGCCAGGGCTAAAAAGGACTGGGTTTCAAAACCAAAGAAAGAAAGATTGTAATAGTCAGAAGACTTCAGGAGGCAGAGGCAGGCGGATCTCTGTGAGTTCAAGGCCATCATGGGCTACAGAGTGAGTTTAGGACAGGCTCCAAAGCTACGCAGAGAAACCCTGTCTTGAAAAACCAAAAAAAAAAGTCAGAAAACTAAGAAAGCAGCTGCTAGATGGTGTCTTCTGAAAAAGTCAGGGAATCGGGACCCATGAAATCCCAACAATATGGTTATTAGTCAGAGTTCTTTCTCTAAAGGAACAGACTGATAAAATGAACACACACACACACACACACACACACACACACACACACACACACACACACACACACACATTTTAGATTGACTTATAGGGTGTGGTCTGGGTAGCTCAATGATGGCTGTCTCATGATGGAAGGGACAAGAATCCAATAGTTGCTCAGCCCAGGGGACTAGATGTCTCTCCACGGTCTCACGCTGGAGCTGGAGTGCTGGAGTATTCCTGGAGAGCTGCTGGTCTTCAGTATACGTTGGAATCCTGAAGAAGCTGGATTTAATACTAGGAGAAACAACAGCACAAGGGAACTTGCCAGTGAAGAGTGAGAGCAGGCAGGCCAAAGGCAAAGCTTCCTTCTTCATGTCCATTTCCTGGGCTAACATCAGAAGGTGCGGGCTAGACTTAGGGTGAATCTTCCTGCTTCAAAGAATCTGATTGAGAAAATCCCTTCACAGGAGTGCTTGGCAACTTGGGTCTTACTTAATGCCAGATGTAGTCAAATTGACAGCCAAGACTAGTCATCACAGTTGTCTAAACACCAGATGACCTGCCAATACAGATAAGGGATAGTTCACAAGGCCTCACCCATGGATGAAGAGTATCAGGCAATTAGAAGTTATATATCAGTAATTAAAGAACAAGAGATCATAAATTTAAGAGGGAGTTGGGGATCACTGGAGAAGATGGAGAGGTGAAATGATGTGAATATAATACTCATGTATGAAATTCTCAAAAAATTTAAGTTAAAAAAAAAAAAGATTATAGCCTGGGCTACAGAGCGAGTTCCAGGAGAGGCACAAAGCTACACAGAGAAACCCTGTCTCGAAAAAAAAAAAAAAAAAAAAAAAAAAGATTATAACATGGTGTAAGTGTGCTATGAGAAGGAAGAAGAGAACCCACCAGATGGGGGGACATTTGGAAGGCCTTTCTGAAAAAGTGTCCCAGCATATTTGGAGCCAGTGCCAGAGCGAATCAGCCAGAGGAAGCACAGGGGAGGCTTTCTGTACAATCAACACCTGCCATCAGGAAGCGCTTGGTGCTTTTGAGCTGAAAGAGGTCAGAGTGGCGAGATGACAGGATAAAGGGACAGAGTGGACAGTGAGGAGGCAGGACCTGTTCATGTAGAGCTTTGTAGGACAAAAGGAAGAACACGCACTTCTTTCTAAATGTGCTAGGAAAGCAGAGAGAGGCTTAAGCACGAGAATGCTGTGGCCTGATTGCCATGGCTGATTTGCGGAGAAAGGACTGTGGCAGGCAGGATTGGAGGCAGGGATTCTGTGTCCGAACAGCCAGATGGAGCAGTGGAGGCGAAGAGTGGATGGATTCTGGATGGTTTGCTGAAGCAAGATGTCTTTTTTCCCCCGCCACAAATGATGATAGTCTCACTTGAGACTATTCAGTTGGAAATGAAGTATCTGGGGTTAAAGAGATGACAAATAAGTTCTTGCTCTTTTTCTCTCCACTATGTGGGATGGAATCCAGGGCACAACCCATATTAGGATGAACTACACTCAAAACCCAAGGCACAGATTCAAAATGTATAGCTTTACAATCTTTGAAAAATGTACACATCCATATGATCAATCAAATAACCTTAGGAGGTCTTCATGCTCCATTGACTTCATCCCTTCACATTCTCATCTTCATTTGGAGTTACGTCATTCAGTTACTTTAGTCTGTTGTTGAATTTTATATAAATGGACTATAACTGGATAATATATATATGCAGTGCTAGTGTGGGGATCAAACACAGGACCTTGTGCATTATTGTCATCAAGTCGACCACTGAGCCATATCCCTATCGACAGTGGGATCATGCTGTTTGGATTCTTCATGTCTAGCTTTTTTTTTTTTTTACTACTTATAATGTTGCTGAGACTCATCCAATGCTGTGTATCATCAGGAGTCTGTTCATTTCTGTTGCTGAATAGCACTCATATTGTATGTGTCTGCCACAATTTGTTTAGCCAGCTTTCTGTTACTGGGCATTTGAATAGTTTCCTGTTAGGTAGCTTTCAGTGTGACTCATTCCATTAGCATGCCAAGATGTAGCTTCCTTTTACTTTTCTTTCTTTAACCATTTTACTCTTCAAAATTCCATACAATTATTATTTATTTATGCTCTATGCATTGATTTCCATCTTTGACTTTTTTTAAAAAAAAAATTAGGGGACTGGAGACATGGCTCAGTGATTAAGAGCACTGGCTACCCTTCCAGAGGACCTAGGTTTGATTTCCAGCACCAACATGGTGGCTTACAACCATCTATAACAATAATTCCAGAGGATTCAACACCCTCTTCTGGCTGCCCCAGATACCAGAAACACATGTGGTACACAGACATACATGCAGGTAAAACATCCATATGTATAAAATTAAAAAAAACTTTTTAAAAATTAATCTTGGAGCTGGAGAGATGGCTCCGTGTCTAAGAGCACTTTTTGCTCTTGCAGAGGACCCACATTTAGTCCGCACGTGGTGGTTTACAATCATCTAAACTTGAGTTCTAGGATATCCATTGCCTTCTTCTATGGAATGTTCCTGTACTTTTATCCAGATAATTCTAGTTGACTATTTTCCACAAGTCCTCATCTCACAACTGTAGTTCTGTCTGCTTATAGAAAACATATAATAAAATCAAGTAGATTCTTTGATTTTTTTAAAGGTGTATTTATTATGTACAGTGTTCTACTTGCATGTATGTCTGCAGGCCAGAAGAGGGCACCAGATCTCATTACAGATGGTTGTGAGCTGCCATGTGGCTGCTGGGAACTGAACTCAGGACCTCTGGAAGAGCAGCCAGTGCTCTTAACTTCTGAGCCATCTCTCTCTCCAGCCCTCAAGTAGATTCTTATTTAGAATGTATTTCCTTTCAGAATGGTAATGATTCATATGTGTAACCCCAATCCAGATAGGTGAAAAGGACTGTGTCTCACTCATAATTTTAATTTTATATAGAATTTTTTATTGTTTAAAACTGTAATATTAGTTTTATTTTAAATCCTGATGTTTTCAAAATAGAAAAACATTAAGAAAAATTAAATTATTCTGTATTTTCAAAATTCTTTACTATCTGATATAATAAAAGACAATTGGATTCTCATATCTGCATTTGTGTTCAGTCAATTTCAGATGCTGTTTTGGTTGCAATATATGAAAGATAATCAGGGCTACATAAATATATGGTTGGAATAAAAACAGATTATTTTAATAATCTTTGTATGTATTTGTGGATATTCCTCTCTGATACTATACCAAAACTCAACAAATGATATTTTTCTTCTTTTTTATAACTTCACTGAGTTATAAAGAGCACTGCTAGGCAAATTTATAAACACGCATATTTGCTATGCGACAAATTATTCAAAGCAGTGGCTTAGAAAAAGCAACATTTATTATCTCACAGTTTCTGTGGACCAGTAATCCAAGAGTGGCTCAACTGGGTGGGTGGTCCTGGCTCATGGCCTTTTGTGTTATCATGACCTCACCTGGGGCTACTTCTGATGGCCTCAGAGTAGAGGATTTGGTCCCAAGGTGGCTCTCTAGCCTGAACTAAAGAAAACTAGTTCCCTGTCTTATAAATCCACAGGGCTGTTTGAGTACTCTCCTGTTGTGGTGGGGTCCCTCAGAGTGAGAGAAAGCCAAGAGACGGTATTCTATGGAAGTTGTGATACACTTTAACACTCAGTCTTCGAGATACACCATAAATCCTTCCATATGCTAGGCAATGCAAACAAATTGCTACTACCGGCTTGTATTTGCTGGGCGGTGGTAGCGCACGCCTTTAATCCCAGCACTCGGGAGGCAGAAGCATGTGGATCCCTGTGCGTTCGAGGCCAGCCTGGTCTACAGAAAGAGAGCCAGGACAGGCACCAAATTTACACAGAGAAACCCTGTCTTAAACCACCACCACCACCACCCCGAAAAAAAGAATACTGGCTTGTACTCAACGGAAGTAAGCTACATTTCTTCAAGAGAGGTGCTATCAAAGAAATTGTGGGCATATTTTTTAAACCACTGTACTGGTCCCTTAGTATTCGTGGGGCTTGATTCCAGGAACTTTCAAGGTTTTAAAAGTCAGTGGATGAAATAGTCTTGGGCAAAAATAAAAAAAAATAGGAAGCACACACTACCTGACTTCTATTACATAGTAATCAAAACATCATAGTATTCACATAGAAGCACATAGAGTATCCAGAAATAATTCCATGCAAGCACAGCCAGCTCCCTGACAAAAATGCTAAGAACACACAGTGGAAAACAGGCAATTTTTCATCAAGAAAACAGGATGTCCATAAGAAGAATGTTGCTGGGCCTACATTTCTATAAGAATTCACAAAGATAACCGAAAATGGATTCAAGATTTAAGTGTAAGACATGAAATTATTGGAAAACATATGGGGAGCACTTTGGAACTTTGGAATGGGCAATCATTTATTTATGTGACTCTAAAAGTAGAGGAAATGAAAGTAAATATAGACAGATGGGATAACAGCAAACTTAAAAGCTTTTCAACAGCCAAAGAAATGAGGGATTCATTTCTTTGAAATGAGTAATTCCCATACTTAACCACAGACTGGGAGAAAACATTGATAAGGAATTGATATCATGACATACTATGAACTTTGAAACCCCCCAAAATGGGGAAAAACAGTAACCTAATTAAAAATGGACTGTAGGTCAAAATAGGTATCTCTCCAAACAAAAGCATGCAAAGGATCAATGAGGATCATATAAGAGTGTTTAAAATCACTAACCAGGAGAACAAATCAAATTAGGGTAATAATGAGATAAGACAAAAGATAGCAAATGCTGTTGAACATGTGGAACAAAGAGAATTCTTTCAATTTTTTTACATTTATTTGTGTGTGCATACTTGTGCCACAGTGTGTATGTGTAGGTCAGGTGACAATTTACAGGAGTTGGTTCTCATCTTCTATCGTGTGGGTTGCAAGGCTCCAACTCAGGTCATCAAGTTTGGCAGCAAGGGTCTTCAGCCAGTGAGTCATCCCACTGACCCGAGAGAGGGAAATTCTTAAACAGCATTTGTATGAATGTAAATTAGAGCATCCATGATAGCTGTCAGGATGGAGGTTCTTCAGTAACAAATTAGCTATGATCTAGAAATCCCACTTACAGGTATGTATCCAAAGGAAATGAAATCAGTATTTTGAAGAGAAATATTCACTTTCATGTTTATAGTAGCAATATTTATAGTAGCCGAGAAATGGAAACAACCTCCGTTTCTATTTCTATCAACTGAAGAATTGATAAAGAACACACACATATATAATGAATACCATCCAGCTACAAAACTAATGCAATTGAAAGCCTGTCATTTGCACAACATGGATGGAGCAGGAATTCATTGAGTGAAATAAAAAGCACAGAAAAGACAAGTATTGCATCATCTCATTCATCTCAGGGGCTAGAGAGGTGACTCAGTAGGGTAAAGCGCCCACCAAGCATGCATGAGGGCCTTAGTTTGGATCCTTATGTAAAGGACTCATGTAAAAGGACTCATGTGGCAACCATGCAAAAGTTTGGAACACTGATGTCTGCCTGTAACTCCACAGCTGGGGATGACTGAGCTCACTGGGCAGCCATTTTAGCCACATGGACAGGCCCAAAGTTCAATCAGAGATCCTGTCACTAAAAAGTGGGGAGCAAACAATGAAGACAGGTGACATTGACTTCTGGTCTCCACATGCACATGTACCCACTTGCATGTGCACCTGCATGTAGATATGGACATACACCCATGAGCATGTATATGCACCACACAAAACATACAAAAGAAGACTTGATCTCCGAAAAGTTTAGAGTAAAAGCAGGATCATTTGTGGCAGGGGAGAGAAGGATAGGGTCCTACCTGGCCACAAGCAGGAACTGTTCTTGCTGTTTTCAGTCAGATAGGCCCCTGACACAGCACCCACAGTTGCTGAGCAGATGTCATGAGCCAATCGTAAACTGATTCCTGTATCAGTAAGAGTCTATACCCAATCACTTCAAAGTACACTTAACTGTTAGTGAAATCCACAAGAGTCTGTTTAAGGGGTATTGGTAATTTATTAAGATAAGAAGTGGGGAAATATACTCACTGATACAGGATAAGGTAAATCCAGGTGTAGTGTCCTTGGAAAGCTAGGGACTGATCACGCTTTTTGCCACCGGACCTGGTCTTCACCACCCAAGAGAGAGTGCACACTCGACTCGCTCCATTCTTAAGGGGTCATGTACACAGACAGAAATCCATGCCCTAGGGTTTGTACCCCCAAAGCCATTGGCAGAAGGAATTCCCATACTTAACCACAGCTGGAATTAATTTTAAGCAGGCTTAAAAGGGGCTGTCTTACCCTCCCCTGGGGTCGAAGCCATTTTGGGTGGGCCCCAGCATGCTGGTTTTTCTCAAGAATAAAGCTGCTTTCTGCAATTGCATACCAGGTGTCTTCTGGTCATTTGGAGAGATCTAAAGTCCCTACAGTATTCTGTCACCTTGACACAAGCTAGGGCCATCTTGGAAAAGAGGACTTTAAGAAAATGACTCCATCAGATTAGCCTGTGGGCAAGTTTATGAGGCATTTTCTTCATTAATGATTAATGCAGGGAGGGTCCTGCCTACCGTGGGCTGTGCCACCCCTGGGCACTTGAACAAGCCATAGACAGCAAGTGTTCCTCCATGGTCTCTGCTTCAGTTCCTGTCTCCAGTTTCCTCCTTGAGCTCCTATCAGACTTCCCTCGGTGATGTTACCTGGAAGTTCCCTGTTATTTGGAAGTGTGAGATGAAATCAACCCTTTCTTCCCCAAGTTGCTTTTGGACAGTGTTCTATCACAGCAACAGAAACCAAACTAAGACAGAAACCTACCAAAGTTTTCTTGTTGTTGTTGTTGTTTTTTCCTTTTGGGGGGCCTGCCACCTAGCTCCCAAATAAACCACACACACGGAGGCTTATTCTTACTTATGAATGCTCAGCCTTAGCTTGGCTTACTTTCTAGTCAGCTTTCCTTCACTTAAATTAACCCCTCTGTCTTTTGCCTCTGGGCTTTTCCCATTCTCTTACTTCTGAAAATCTTACTCTTACTCTGTGACTTGTTGTGTTGCTGGATGGCTGGCCCCTGGAGTCTTCCTCTTTCTCTGGCTACTTCCTCATTTCCCAGATTTCTCCTTCTATATATTCTCTCCGCCTGCCAGCCCTGCCTATCCTTTCTCCTGCCTCGCTATTGGCCGTTCAGTTCTTTATTAGACCATCGGGTGTCTTAGACAAGCACAGTAACATAGCTTCCCAGAGTTAAACAAATGCAACATCAACAAAAGTAACACACCTTAAAATAATATTCCACAACATTTTCTCATTCCTTTTTTGTAATCACGACTA